CCCCTGCTTATGCTCACACACTCTCTCTCTCCCAAATAAATAAATAAAAATCTTTAGAAATAAATCTTTTAAAAAAGAAAAAAAAACCGACTTGTTTGTGATCTAACATGTCATCTATCCTGAAAAATTCTGGAATTAAACAACTTAGGCTTAAACAACCAAAAGATCAAAGAAAAAAATCAAAAGAGAAATTAAAAAACATCTGGAGACAAATGCAAACAAAATTACAACACACCAAAGAAAAAACTTCAGGGATGTAGGAAAAGCAGGAAAGTTTATGCCTACATTTAAATTAAAAAAAAAAAAAAAGAAAGAAAGATCTAATAAACAACTTAATACACCTCAAGTAACTTTAAAAAAAGGAAAAAGCTAAGCCCAAAGTTAGAAAAAGGGAGGAAATAATAAAGATTAGAGCAGAAATTAAAAGAGAATAGAAAAAATAATTTTAAAAAATCAGCAAAACTGAGAGTTGATATTAGAAAAGATCAAGAAAACTGATAAACTTTTAGCCTAAACTAAGAAAATAAAGAAGACTCAGTAAAAGCAGAAAGGAAGAAGGAGACATTACAATTGATGTCACAGAAATAATATGAATATAGACTACTATACACAATTATATGCCAACAAATGGGATAACCGGGTAGAAATGGGTAAATTCATAGAAACGTATAACCTCCAAAGACTGAATCTGAAGAAATAGGAAATCTAAATAAATCTATAACTAGTAAAGAGACTGAATCAGTAATGAACTTCCCAACAAAGAAAAATTCAGCACCAGGTGGTTTCAAAAGAGAATTCTACCAAACATCTGAAGAAAAATTAATGTAACTCTTTCTCAAACTAATCCCCAAAATTAGAAAGAACACTTCCAAATTCATTTTATGAAGTCAGTATTACCCTGATGCCAAAGCCAAACAGAGACACTACAAGAACAAGAATAAAAACTATAAGCCAACATTACCCTGATGAATATGAATGCAAAAATCCTCAACAAAATATTAGAAAGCCAAATTCAACAGGACATTAGAAAGATCATACACCATAACCAAATGAAATTTATATATGTGAGGCAAAGATAGTTCAACATATGGAATCCATCAATCAATGTGATACACCATATTAACAAAATGAAGGGAAAAATGTTACAAGATCATCTCAATAGATGCCAAAAAAGCATTCAACAAAATTCAACACCATTTCATGATAAAAATATGCAAACCAGAAACAGAAGAAAATTACTGCAACATAATAAAGGCTATATATGAAATGTCCACAGTTAATATCATACTCAATGGTGAAAACTAAAATCTTTTCCTCTAAACATCACGAACAATGCAAGAATGTCCATTGTTGCCACTTTTATTCATCAGAATATCTGAAGTCCTCGCCAGAGCAATTAGGCAATAAAAAGAAAGAAAAGGCATCCAAATCAGAAAGCAAGAAATAAAATTATGTTTCCAGATAATATTATATGGAGAAAACCCTAAGATTCCATTAAAAAAAAAAAAGCTGATGGAAACAATAAGCAAATTTAGCAAAGTTACAAGATACAAAATTAACACCCAAAAACTAGCTACATTTCTCTACACTAACAACAAGTAATCTGAAAATGAAACTAATAAAACAATATCATTTACAATACCATCAAAAACAGTAATACACAGGAATAAACTTAACCAAGAAAGCAAAAGATTTATACAATGCAAACAAAAAACAATGTTAAAAGAAAGTACAGAAGAAACAAATGAAAAGACATCACATGTTCATGGATTGAAAGACTTAATATTGTTAAAATATCTATGCCATCCAAAGCAAGCTACAGATTCAGTATGACCCCTATCAAAATCCCAATGGCATCTTTGCAGACATTTTTGCAGAAAACAGTGTTAAAATTCATAAGGAACCACAAAGGACTCTATATAGCCAAAACAATCTTGAGAAAGAAAAATGAAGCTGAGGGCCTCATACTTCCTGAATTCAAAACATTTTACAAAGTAATCAAGACAGTACGTACTGGCATAAAGAAAAACATACAGAGCAAAGGAACAGAATAGCAAGTCCAGAAATTAATCCATGCATATGGGTCAAATGATTTGACAAGAATGCCAAGTCTACACAATGGAGAAAGGATAGTCTTTTTAATAAATGGTGGGGGGGAAACTGGGTTTCTACAGGCAAAAGGATGAAATTGGACCTTTATTCCATATACAAAACTTGACTTAAAACGGGTTAAAGACTCAAACATAAGTTCTGAAACTGTAAAACTCATAGAAGAAAATATAAAGCAAAAGCTTCACACATTGGTCCTGGCAATGATTTCATGGATATGACTCCAGAAGCAAAGACAACAAAAGTAAAATAGACAAGTGGGACTAGATTAAACTAAAAAGCTTTAGCGCAGCAAAGGAAACAGTTAATGAGACTATAAAGAAGAAAATATTTGCAAAGCATATATTTGATAAGGAGTTGATATTCAAAATAAAGAAAAGTAAATAACCTGATTTAAAGATGAGTAAAGGCCCTGAATAAGCATTTCTCTAAAGAAGACATACAAATAACCAACAAGTATACGAGAAGATGCTCAACATCACTAATAAACATAAAATACCAAGTTCTGGCAAGGATGTGGAAAAATTGGAACGCTTATGCATTTTATATTGGTGGAAATGTTAAAATCGTGCACCCATTATGGAAAAGAATATGGACATGCCCCCAAAAATTAAAAATAGAACCACAAACAATCCCAGTAATTCCACATTTGGGTATTTATCCAAAAAAATTGCAAGTAGGATCTTGAGGTATTTGCAAACCCATGTTCATTGCAGCGTTATTCATAATATCCAAAAGGTAAAAACAACCTAAATGTCCATGGATGAGTGAATGGATAAAGAAAATGTAGTATATACATACAATGGATTACTATTCAGCATTTAAAAAAAAAGAAGAAAATCTTATAATATGCTACCATATGGATGAAACTTGAGGATATTATACTTAGGGAAATAAGCCAGACACAGAAGGACAAACACTGTATGATTCCACTTATTATGATATATTTATAGTAGTCAAACTCATCTAAGCAGAAAGTAGAATGCTGGTTGCTAAGGGCTGATAGAAGGGAAAAATGGGGAGTTGCCATTTGATGGATACAGTTTTAATTACATAAGATGAAAAAGTTCTAGAGATCTGCTGTACAACAATGTGCATATAGTTAAAAATTGTACATTTAAAAATTTGTTAAAAGGATACATATCATATTATGTGCTTTTTTTTTTTTTTTTAGCACAATTGAAGGAAAAAACGGGGAGAGCGTACAGGGGGCATGGGAATGAGCATGAGAAAAAATGAATGAACTAATGAAATCTGGGCAAAAGCAGAAACATATACAAAGGCCCTGAGTGAGCTAATAACCTATTCAAGAACTTGAAACAACACCAAAACAACTTAGGCATGGTGAACAAGGATGAAAGTGGTAACAAATGAAAACCAGAGATGTAGTAGCAGGAGCCTGACCAGCCAGGGACTTACAGGTCATGATGAAAGATTTTAATTTCATCCTAAATCAACAGAAAGTTTCTAAATGGCTTTAAGTAAAGGAATAACAATCTGATTAGTGCTTGAGAATGATCAATATTCTAACAGTTTTGCCTTTCTCTGCAATGTACCTCTTCTTTTTTTTTTTTTTTTTTCTTTTTTTTTAAGTAGGCTCCACGCCCAGCTTGGAGCCCAGTGTCAGGGCTTTTTCTCACAATCCTGAGATCAAGACCTGAGCTGAGATCAAGAGTCAGATGCTTTACCTACTAAACCACCCAGGTGCCCCTATAATATACCTCAAGTAAAAAATTAAATAAAATTAGGCAAGAATCTTCCTTTAAAAAACAAAGGCAAAATTTCAGAAATATCTGGAATTAGATTTAAGGCAAAATTACATTAATGGGTCAGGTAATCTGAATCAAATATGAATACAACACAGTTTGTCTATAGTAATCTAATAAAACAGGGGCACCTAGTTGGCTGAATTGGTTAAGAGTCTGCCTTAGGTTCAGGTCATGATCCCACAGTCCTGGGATCCAGCCCCACATCAGGTTCCTCCTGCCCCCCACCCCCCGCTCCTCTGCCTGCCTCTCTGTCTGCTTGTGCCCTCTCTGTCAAATAAATAAATAAAATCCTTAAAAAAGAAAGGAAGTGGGGTGCCTGGGTGGCTCAGTGGGTTAAAGCCTCTGCCTTCAGCTCAGGTCATGATCCCAAGGTCCTGGGATCGAGCCCCGCCATCGGGCTCTCTGCTCAGCAGGGAGCCTGGTTCCTCCCCTCTCTCTCTCTCTGCCTGCCTCTCTGCCTACTTGTGATCTGTCAAATAAATAAAATCTTTAAAAAAAAAAAAAAAAAAAGGAAGGAAGGGAAGGAAGGGGAAGGGAAGGGAAGGGAAGGAAGGGGAAGGGAAGGGAAGGGAAGGGGAAGGGGAAGGGGAAGGAAAGGGAAGGGAAGGGAAGGGAAGGGAAGGGAAGGGAAGGGAAGGGAAGGGAAGGGAAGGGAAGGAATCAGGTAAAATCTATCCAATAATGGCAGCCATACACTTTAAGTTTCCTTTGAAAGTATAGTATTGAAGCAATTATTCAACTGGCAGTTATTCAACTGGCAGGGAGAAGGAATGATGAAAACATGTCTTATTTCTGATCTCTCATTAACCATAGCATAAAAACAGAATAAATTTCAGCTATAAAGTACAACACACAATATACTTAAAAGTTTGATTTGCATCTGCCCTAAAACAGCATCTTATACCAGTCCATGTAAGTGGAACAAAAGAATTATTCTCAGACTTGCCTCAGTATCAACACACTATTTCAAAATGAAGCACAATTATCTGTATGGAAAATATCAGTTTCAATTTGCCTTTTTTCCCTTCTTATTGGCAGTCAACTCAAAAGAAAAGAATATAAACTAAACGTTTACCTAAAAATTGTTTATTTATGAAGGCTTTATGCTAGGAAAAACCTTACCAACAGTACAGCTGTCTTCAAGTACCACATCAACATTTCTGTCTCTGTACTCAACCCTGAAGTCCAGCATCCGAGGCTGCCGTTCTACAATTTGCCTAGATGGCATTACAGGTCGAAATGCTGAAGAGGAAGAGGGAGCAGGAGCTGAACCTGGGTGACTTGGATCAAATGCAGGTCCTGGTATAGTCTCACCTCCATAGTCACTGAAATATTGACATAAAGAGAAAGATTATCATCAACCAAATCATTACAGATAACCACTAAGGACCCATTCCATACTTGGCTTGTGTTGGTCTTCCAATCAAATTTACCTACCTATGCATCAAGGCCTAACTAAAGTTTTACTTCCTCCCTAGCAACTGAAAGGGATCTTCCCTAGCAACTGAAAGCCACATTACTCTCCCTCCCATCCTTGTCTTTCTATGTCTATTAGCAGTATCATACATATCATTTAGCATTTAATCAGATTTTTGCCTTATATTGTGATGATGCTATTAGAACATTCATTTCTGTGAATTAAGAAGTGTCTTCTTCATTCGCTTTCATTTGCTCACTGAAAGATTATTTGATTAACTCTACTTTCCACAAAACTCAGAAATTAACCATCCTTAAATCTCCATTCTATCAAACTCCTCAGTCTTAAAAGATTATTTTTTCCCTGCTTTGCATAGAAAGCAGATGCCATCAAGATGAAATTCCCTTACTTTTTTGACAACAAATCCACCAACTAACCAGCATATGTACTCTTTTTCTCTTTCTGTAAAACAGGGGCAACATCACTCTATCTAAAACCATCTTCTAATTAGCTTTACATTATGGTATATACTTATCCTTTCCAGTATCTTCACCTTCTCTTCTAGATTCTTCTCAATAACACTTAAACATGTTAAAATCTTAAAAAATAAAAATACAATCTTTGTTCTGCCCACTTAATAGTTATCTCATTTGTTAAATGGGAAAATTAATTATACTTGTAGGGATTAAGTCAGATAAATGCATGAAAAGCTTAGCACACTGCCTGGTACCTGGTAAGATCTCAAACTCAGTATATCCAAAGTTTAACTCATTTATGTCTTCCCAAGCATGATCCTCCCTCCATTATTCCTCATATCAGCTAACCAAGTCAGAAACTTCTGGCCGTTATCCTTGATAACTTCTTCTCTCACAACTCCCATATCTAGTCAGTCCTTTTAATTTTACCATCTAAAAATCTTTTAGTTAAGTTATCCACCTTTCCCCTCTGAAGCTGACACCGCAAGCCACAAGCACCTCTTGCACAGGCTGATACAACAGCCTCCTAACTAATCCCTCTGATTGTTCCCTCACTCCCTTGCATGTCATTCCTTACCATCACAAAAATGAAATTATATAAATGTCTTCATGTCATTTTCTTCAATATTCCCCTTTGCTCTTCATACAGAGTTAAAGAGGTGTATAAGTCCCTATATGATCCAAATCCTATCTACCTCCCCAGCCTTAGCTTGTGCTAGGCTATCTCCAATCTCTCTATGTTAACAGCCACAACAGCCTTTCACTTCTTCTGTCTCACCTTGATCCTTCTCATTTCATAGGGGAACACAGATCATTCCTTCTAAGCATGTTCTTTCTTTCCCATCTCATCCCAATATTCCATCTTTCTTCTAGCTAATTATATTTAGCCTTCATATCTCAGATTTAATGTTTTTCAACTCAGAGCATGTTTTACTACCTCAGACTGATTCTAATTCCTCACCACTACCAATTATAATTGATATTAATCATTTGACATTTAAGACCCCCCAGAGAATAGAAGTTCCAGAAGGGCAAAGTTCACATTTGTTCATTTAATGGCTGTATCTTCTGCCTGGAGCTCAAGATTTTACAGAGAAAGTGCTTAAATATTTAACAAACCAGTGAGTAAAGGAATAATTATTAAAGAATTTGATTTTTCTCTCACTTAGTTTATCATATATAGTCACTTCTTTTTCCCCTCACAGGGAGAAGTAAAGAAGAAGAGAACATAAAGAATGCTTCCATTGAAACGTCATTATTGCAGATATGTTCCACCACCACAAAAACTACAAGCTCAGTTCTAAAACATCTTTCTTCTCACTCTAAATTTAAGGAAAAAAACAACAGATTGGGAACCTGAACAGAAACAACAAAAACAAGAATGACCAAAAACCCACAAATAAGCACTATTCTTATGACAACTCAGGAGAAAATATTTACATTTACTTCACACTTTTGCTCTGATTAGTGTTTACCAAATTTAGATTACAAAATCGATTTTGTGCGTTGTGGTTGTCTTTTAAAGAACAGGACAGGATAGGATAGGATACAAATGATTAGTACATGGCACTTAATAGTTAGAACCAAGTATTGTTTCCCAAAACTTTTGATTCTGATAAATATTTGCATATGTGTATTTTGGATTCCAAATATTTCTCATTGTAGGTAATAATGATGAGAGTTCAGATACTCTAGTAATCACTGATCCAAAGGCAAAAATCTACACTTTCTCCCAGTTGTTAGATTCAAGAAAAGTAATCTTAGAAGTAAGACATAGAAAAGAAAATGTCCAGAGCAGGAAAGAATATCATTGTTGGAATCCACTGTTGGAGTATCTATGAAGAAAATGTGTACAATGATATTTCATATCTCTAAATTTTGTCACAACTTCTAGGAACCTCGGAAAAATAGCTAACATTAACAGGCTGGTCCCTGACTTATTGTTTTCTTAACTCAAAATTCATCCTTCTATTGTCTATTCTAGCATTCTGCAAAATTCTATTTATCCTTTGGCGTATGTTTCCCCAATAGATTCTGTAAATAGGGGATACTAGAGAGAGATCATTTGTTAGGAGGAGAGAACAAAAGCCTTCCTTCTTCCTATTTGCATTTATTTCTATCAGTATCATCCTTTAGTTTTTAGTCTCCTGGCTCTTTTCAGCATTCATATAACCAGATTCCTGACATCCCCTCAGACACCAATAGCAGCTAGACAGTGTGCATTCCACAGCTCCCTGATCCTAACTCAGGTCTAACAGGCTCCTCAGAGCTTGAAAGTTCTGTTAATCCCTTGACCAAGACCTGAGAGTGGTAACTTCCTGAAGCAGTTACTATACATAGGTTACTTCAGTTTTACTTTATTGCTCTTTTAGTTCTCCACACCTGTGTAACCAATTCTACGTTAAACTTGAAATACCCAATTTTTATTTATTTATTTATTTATTTTTTGGTAATGGAGGTGTCCCAGAAATGGGATTCAGTTACTGGTTTGATTACGTCCTTAACCTTCAATATACTGATGAGCTCCGTGTCAATGGAAAATGGGATACTAGTGAGCATGCACTGGCATAATGATTAATTAAATTATCACTTATAGTTCATTATGATCACATACCTATTAAAACAAGTGCCTAAGGGGACAAATGATTATTTGACTTGGCTATTATGGTGGCAATAATGACAAAATAAAGACTTTGAGCTGGCTGCTTCTGACTCTAATGGAAAGCTTAACAGAAGAAAATGACACACTTAGGGCTATTAACATTCAATTCAAGCCATGACAAGAAAGCTAAAGCTTTTGAAGTAGCACTTTATTATTTCCCATCCTCTGGGTATGATCCTACTGAGAATCACACACAAAATTTAATTTTGCAGCTTAAATAACTACAGTGAAAGCTGAGTAAATGTACTTTCTAAGTTTCTTTTGTGAACATTACAACACCGTTTTAGAAAGAGTGGGACCCTAAAATGTGGAATAGAGATCCCAAGTAGATTCAGATGAAGGTTACAAACTTGAACTCAGAGTCCCTCCCAACCTTTTTTGTAAAGAGAAACAACTCCTCCTCTCATGACTGAGGTTAGCCTCCTCTTGCTTGAAAACTGGCAATGCTCTTACTTGAGACTGTTGCCTTGAAAAGGGATGCCTATTGTCAAAACCTACCCCCACCATTCCTTACTATGTCTAAAATCAGATCTAGGCATGCTTCAAGAGAATAAGTACAATGTCTTAATTGAGAGAAGGCTTATATCCAATATTATAAGATTCTGATAAATCAAAAATCTAGGGAACAGGTAAGGAAATGAATTTGAAGTGAATTTGACCAAAAGAGCTTGGATAGGACCAAATATAACATGTTTGCTTAAGCAGCTGTAAGTCCTCTAATAGTATGCTTGTTGACTGAATGAAACTTAAGTCCCAAAGGAGTCTAAATTTAATGAGGATGAAATGCCCAAACTTTCCTGGCAAAATGTAGAAGAAATCCTGATGCTTAGAAAAATAAGAATGCTCAAGTGGATTTCCATGTACAATCTAAACATACATACATCCTCCTACTACATCATCCATGAGGTCCCAGAGGACACTGCACTAAAGCATTAAGAAATACATTAGTAAGGGAGGGTCTGCATTCTTGAAAAACTGTAGTGGCTGTCTTCCATAGGTTGATGAGATGACACCACTGAATAAGTTTCCTTAATGGGTATGAGATCCCAAAGTGCTCAGTTCAAATGGCAGAATTTAGTAAGAAAAAGGTGGGAGCAATTAGTTAATGGACAGCATAGACAAGAAGTGGCAATCTGAAGATTTCAACCTGCAGAGATCTTTAGAACTGTTTAACTGAACATGATTATTATGATTATTACCCCCCCCAACCCTGAGAGAGCATGCATAAGCGTGGTGGGGGAGAGAGACAGAGAAAATCCTAAGCAGGCTCCATGCCCAGCCCCAAGAGGGTTCAATCTCATGATCCTGAGAGATCATTATCTGAGCCTAAAATCAAAAGTAGGACACTTAACCAACCGAGTCACCCAGGCGCCCCAGAACATGATTATTTCTAAGGAAGCAAATTAAAAGTCAACTGACTAAAATACTACTTGATCTAAAAACATCAGAAATCCTAGATCTGATAGCCTAAAACCTAATGTCTATAACCGCAGCAGAGAGTCATACTCACTCCCAGGTTCCAAACACAAATTGTTTCACAGACATAAAGTCCCTGATTCCCATAAGCACAATGCAACAGAGCCACATGTATGTATTAGAAATTTTCCTCTAAGACTTTTCCTAATGGGCCTGCAGCCATTTATTAGGGTGTTTGTGTAATGATAAAAGGAAAATATCTAAATTTTTATGTGATTACTACATGCTAACTCTAAATTGATACTAATTCCTGGAGATATAAAAGTGGAAGATTATGGTGGTAAATGAAGTTTG